AGGCATGACACCCTGTTTATTGCCTCCTCTTTGCACTTTTTCAAGATCTGTAACCTGTTTGAGTTTGTCTAAAACCTTTTTCCATTAAGCGAGAGCCAACTCTGTTTCCATATACCTTCCAACCGTGAGTAATAGCAGCTTGCGTCTTCGATTACAATAACGGTGGGAGTGAAAGTGACTGGGCTGGCCTTGGTGGCCAGTGCATCAATAGTCTTCCTCATCAAACAGGAGTGTTAATCCTAAATGAAATCACAGTGTATAAAGCTCAAGAAAAACATCACCTTCCTTTGTTTCTTTGTCTCTCACAAATCCAGGTTTTAAAGAGTCATACAAAGTGTGAAAAGCTTGGCCAATCAAATTATAGGACCTGAACTACAGTAATAATACCTTAACTACAGTAATAATACTTCGTTACAGTACTTAAGTATTTTTTGGGAGTATCTGTACTTTACTTGAGTTTTTATATTTCAGCCAACTTTTACTTTTACTCCACTACATTTCCTAATTAAAATGTATACTTTTACTCCGATACATTTCCCCGAAGCATATTCATTACTTACTACAAAATAAAGTCAGAAGTCCACGGACTGCAGGAAAGCAGGTTTGACAAATCAGTGGTCTGGTGTTTGCAAGTTAGACTCCTAAAAAACACCTTTACTCATGTGCAAACAAGTGCGCGCACAACTGCAGATGATTAATTTTCCACTCAAGTCGAGTCTGGGGTCTGCAATATACAGCATCGTCTGCGATAATATGGTAAGTGTTGTTGTAATTATGTATATCAGTATTCAACGTTTTATGTTTTAAAAACAAAACATTAGGTCTATTTATGCATCTGTAACTGCAGTTTAAAGGGGTCATATGATGCGATTTCAATTTTTCCTTTCTCTTTGGAGTGTTACAAGCTCTTGGTGCATAAAGAAGATCTGTAAAGTTGCAAAGACTAAAGTCTCAAATCCAAAGAGATATTCTTTACTCCTTCGTTGAATCCGCCGGCCATGCCGTTCTCAAGCCTGCCCACCTCCGCTCACTCAAGCCGGCCTCCGCTCACTCTAGGTAGCGGCTCACTCTAGGCCTTCAGCCTCCGCTCACTCAAGGCCACGGTGTGTGACGCTTTTTCGTTGTGAAAGCGAAACTACTTTGTTTGGCCTTCCAAAAGAGGACACAACTAGAAATCAGTGGTTAAGTTGTAGTTACAACACTGTTCCAGAACAGTTTAACCCAAATATTCAGATGTGTCCAGCGCAATTTATGGAGGACTGTTTCCTGATCCTGGTAGAGTAGACTACAATGCCGGCTGTTCTGACTCACAGACTGTACGTACGTTTTTTATATTTAAAGAATTTGCCACTGACGATTCAAACGCAAGTTTTTTGGGCAGTGTAGAGTAGCACTTGTTGTTTGTCATTTCTCCGATCACAAATGCAGACATGGTTTTATGTTACGCTCCGGCCAGACAGGGCATCACAGTATGGTAAGGGGTGTAACATTTCCGTGACACGCTTTTCGGCCAATCACAACGCACTGGATAGCTGGCCAATCAGAGCACACCTCGCTTTTCAGACCGATAAGCTTTGTAAAAATCGACGCGTTTCAGAAAGGCGGTGCATAGAGGAGAAACAATAATGTACAGTATGTGGAAAATAATGTGTTTTTTTAACCTTAAACCGCATAAACACATTTCATTACACCAAATACACAAAATAATGTTCTTTTTAGCAGCATCATATGACCCCTTTAAAATGCATCCATGTCCCCTATGACATACATAAACTGTGTAAATACATCTAAATGGTATTTAAGATGTAGATTCCAGAAATGTTTTCTTATGTTGGAATGAAAGACACTAAACACCGGATGAAGTGCTGCTTTTTCTTACCCAAAAATACAAAATGGAAGAAAGAGTTAAAACTGAACACAATCTTCTTGCTACTCAAGCGGTGTATGAACATTTTTTATATATTTATTTGCTGCTTTTCAATTTTGCATTTACTTGTACTTTTACTTTCAATACTTAAGTATGTTTAAGATTTAAAAAATACTTTTTTCATACTTAAGCACAATAAATATCACATACTTTAAGACTTTTACTCAAGTAATATTCTAAACGGTGACTTCAACTTCTACCAAAGTCATTTTCTGGTAAGATATCTGTACTTTTACTTGAGTATGGCTTTCAGGTACTTTATACACCACTGCAAACTAGAGCACCTTCCCGAGTGCTCAGAGAACAAGAGGCCCTTTATTGCTCTCTGTGTCACAGAGGAGGCATGAGACCATTACAGGTGGGAACTTTTAAATATTTTGTTACAATTTAAAAGCCATCAGTCAACGTGCGGTATAAATCACCCTCAATAACTCAGAATTAAGTCAATCTGAGCCATCTAAGTACAACCTGCAGTTTTCTAAACCATGAAATGGAACACAGTTAGGAAATCTGAATGGGGAACTCAATGAACTTCTACCTCAAACCAGATGAATTCTCAGTCATATAAAGAGGGCTTGACTATGGCATGACGTATACAGATGACTATGGCAGTGTTCACCTACTGTGCAATTTCCTTTTTCAGACTTAAAGAATGCATGTGATTTCTGAGGGGATAAAGGAAACTGAATGTGGCTTTAATAATGTAAGTGTTCATGATGGCAGCATAACGTTTTTGGTTAAACCGGTATTCATGCATATACGGAAAGGATACAGGGAGGTTTGTTTAAGGTAAGAAGAAAAATCCCCTCATTATATTATCTAAGTGTCAAATATGATTATCAGAGAGGGTTATGTTTAGCATTAGCCCAGGCGATAAAAAGATTTTGTTGATATTGATACGGAGGTGTGGCACGGAAGCTTCAACCTTGGTGAAATGCGCTCAGCTGTGGTTTTGCTATCTGCTCATCACAAAGAAAAATTAGCTTGCTTTGATGCACTGTAAAAAAAAAACTGCTAAAAAATTTGCTGGGTGAGCAGACAACTGTGAGTCATTGATATGGCCACTGAAAATACTTTCCATTAAAAGAACCTGTTGAACAGAAAGTCATCTTAACAAAAGGCTGGTGCGGTATAGTCTCACACGTGGTACAGTATAACACTACGTTGGATGCTAGACATACTGTTACATAGGTTGGGGTGCCTTGCTGAAAAACTCAAAAAATTCTACTAAAAGTAGAATTGTATCATTTGATTATCCAACACACAGAAAACATGCAAGATCATTTCAGACTTTCCAGTATCTAATCAATTCACAAAAGTAATTGAAACAACTGAAAATCACATTAATCATTAAAACGCCCTATAGTTTGCATTAGACAAATATAGATAGATATAGGTTGTATTACACATAATAGTAAAAGAATCACACTCAATAAATCTTAATACAATTTCTGTGTTTTTAATTATTTGTTTATAGCTTGCCATTTTAATTAAATGGCTTCTTTTTTTTTGAATTCTTAAATATTTCTTATAGCAATAAATTATCAAGCAACAGTAAGTGTGACATTTAATGACCTCGTTCATCACATACAAGCTATTTCATATTTCAACGATATCAAGCTCAAGCTCTAAATGGCATCTTCATAATTAAACAGGCATTTGTTCATATGGGAAATATGCTCCTACTAATCTGACCCTCAAGCATACTGGCACAAGAGTCAAATGTGCTAATAATGTGCTATTTTCATAGACTCTGTTTATTACAAAGGATATGAGTACATGACGGAAACAGCAGAAGAAGCATATGGTTTGCTCAGGGCAGATTGTGGTTGTGATTGATTGTTCATTGTCTTCAAACAGTCCCCCATGTCTTCTTTCACACAGCCTTTTGAAACCAATAGTCTCAAAAGATTAAGATTTTCTTTATTAACTTCTTTCTCATGACGAAACCTCTCACCACATTTAACACAGTGTTTCTTCCTTTTATGTGCACACACAATCCGAGTTTGACTTATGCAAATTCCATAATTTCCATAATTATATGAATCAGTGGCTACAAATGTTTAATAAATATGTTCTATAGCTCATCAAAAACTAATACTGATAACAACCAAGTAGCAACTCACGTAAAAGCTACTTCCTTCCTCTGTTGATTTTTTTCCATACTGATAGCATATTCAAGCATGAGCCCCGTCCAAGTGTGCTGAATCTGTGATGTTTCTGACTAGTGAAGGACAATGCGTCGTTGCAGATGTAACAACTTAACCTCCCTGACCTCAGCTGTCCTCTCAGCACAAATAAAACAACAACATCTTGTCTCGCAGCACAGAGCAGCGCTCCAGTCTTACCATCCGACAGCTCGGCTTCCTCCTTGCACAAACGCTCCTATACCAACATGTCAACAGACGCAACCAATCTGAACATAAAAACTATGTCAGAGTACATGCATTTCCCTTTAAACTGAGGTCATATAAAGAGCATCTCTTTCAGGGAGCTTACAGAAAATCTCTGAAGAGCCATTATCATAAATTTCCCAGTAACAGTAATGGCAAATACACACCATAACGCAAACCCTCTGAGATCTTATTGGTGCGTTTAAAAGACAAACGGCCGTGTCTATCAAAGGCCACTGCTAGATAGTAAGTCAATTATCAAACATATTTTACTACTGTAACTAGAACCATTTCTTAAAATTCAGAATTAATTATTACCATATTTATTTATTTAATTTTATACTGAATATGGCATCAAACATGAGTTGAAAAAAAACATTGTAAATACTGCATCAACATTTTGATCATAAGCAGTCAATTTAATAACTAAGAGACTAGCATATGAACTATGAAAACACTGTACAGCAGATTGCAATTTTCTACATCCCTATTCCTTTCATAAAACATTTAGACATACAAATGCTAACTATTTCAAACACAATGAGGATTCATTCCTCGAAAGAAAAGGAGACCTTTAAAACAAAGTGCATAAATGTCACTTTAAGTAACAGGTGAACTCCAGTTGTGCGCATACATGATGTAGCCTAATCAATAAAAAGAGTAAGAACATTTTTACTTACACAAAGGCATGGTAAACGAATGCCCAGGCTCGCGGTCTCTCCAGGACATTGTAGAGGTAGTTCTGGAGCTTCCTGTAGCTCGCGTTTCTCCGGCCGCTCTGCGCGCTGTAGGTGAGCGGTTTCCCCAGCAAGCTCAGCCGGGCGCCCTGCTTTCTCCTCTGGTTCTCCGAGTCTCCTGCACCTGTTGTGCCCGGCGCCGACAGCAGGCTGTCGACTGTCCTGGCGCTGTTCATCGTCCCACGACCGGTTTCAACATCTTTCATGCCATAGTGCTGCGAGGTCTTCATCCAGAGACCAGTGCCGCCCTCATCGCCACTGTGGTTGCGGGGCATCGCATCACCAGCGCGAGCTGGAAACGCGCGTCTGGCACCAGCGGTGCGCACATATAAAGAGACTGTACACGAGCTTCACAGTTACCGGTGTAAAAACATTGGGTGCTTTATTGTTCTTCTTCTCTTTTTATCTTTTCTTTAAGGTTATATATAACAGGAGCACCTACTGACAAGTGCAGGCATCCAGCTCATTGGCAGATAAGCTATGAAAGATTTGGTAAAGTTATGAACCTTCAGATGACTGAAGCAATCTGCTCCCGCCGCCGTGAGACTGGAGTTTTGAAGGAGCGTCACCATCTCAGTGAAGGAGATTTGTCGAGGGGAGGGCATCACCCGCGCGCGCTCTCGATTTCTCTCCCTCTCTCTCTCTATGGGCTACTGTAAACCATTGGCTACTGTATTCTAGTTCAGATGTCCTGACTAGATATAATGTAGGACTTAAACACCTACAATACAAGCAAATTGTGAGTTTTATGAAGCGTGCGCTTGAGCGCGCGAATTAGGCTACTTTCAATTAAACGGGTAATTTTTTAAGACAGTTTCTGTCAATAAGCTATACGTTACATTTTGTATAGGCTCATTTTCGAACCGCAATCTGTCGAGGTCAATCTAAAATACCTAAATAGACAACTTTTCATGATATACTTGCGATAAATACAGTAGAACGATGATAAAGAATGAGAGTTATGTTTATGCTTGAGCGACGTACAGTTGCTATGGTTACCACCTCAAGTGAATTCTACTTACATTTACATTTAGACATTTAGCAGACGCTTTTATCCAAAGCGACTTTCAAATGAGGACAATGTTAGCAATCAAAGTCAACAAAAGAGCACTTGTGTTCTCGAGTTTATTTAGTGCACTAATTGTAATCTAAATGTTCTTTTGATTCAAATCGGAGTGTTAACTACGTTTTGGGGGGTTTGGGGTCAATTGAGATTGATTGAGCAATTGAAATTATATTTTGTCGCTTAAATCGCCCAAGTTAGAATAGCCTACCTGTATTACTTGCGATATAGAAATATGTTTTGGCTTATGACTAACATGTGCTCTCAAGTGTTATCCAACTTTTGTGGTTCCATCCTGAAATGTTAAAGGGGTCATATGATGCGATTTAATTTTTTCCTTTCTCTTTAGAGTGTTACAAGCTCTTGGTGCATAAAGAAGATCTGTAAAGTTGCAAAGACTAAAGTCTCAAATCCAAAGAGATATTCTTTATAAAAGTTAAGAGTTCGCTATGCCGGTGGGGTGAGGGTTCGATCTTAATTAAATAGCCTATTTTGATTAAGAGGGTAAAACAACCGCCTAATTCGCTGGCTCGCGTTTTTATTACGTTTAGAGTTTAATTATATTACCCCAAAACTGTTTATTGATGTCCCTTCTTTAAAATGTAATTTTAGAATTCATACGTAATATTTAATCGCGACTGATTCCACATGCATGCCTCTGCATGTCCATTTATGTGGATCTGAGAGAGAACTGCGCGAGCGGCTCGGATTAACGACAGCACATTTATGAGAAAAACGTATGTTTCTGAAGACACAGCTGACATTCTCCTCCAAAAATATAGTGAAACAAAGCTATTTAAGCCTGGGGATCTTTGTCACCACTGATAGAAACATTTAACCATAACAACGCTGTGCCCACATCATCTTGAATCGACTTACAAACGTGTTTGAATTACAACTAATAATAGGCTACCTAGTTCTCTACTCACTGTGGTAGCAGAACAGATTCTCCTCAAAATACACTTTATAGAAACACCAAACAAATAAACTTAAGCGCATAACTGAGTCTTTCTGGGTTTCAAAACAGGGCTCAACTGAAAACGCTTCAGTCTGATCCGTGGCAATCACGGAGCCCGCGGATCTAGCGGAGCCGCTGACAGACAAATCACGTGATCCGAAAAGAAATATAATGCATACGCCGGTAAGCGGCATACAGTTTAATTAGCAGGTAAGCTGGATGTTTAATTATGTATTTTTTATTTAATTATATTCTACATATTTAACTGTTTAGATTATTCTAGCTAGCATTCTTACGAATGTTTCTTCTTGACTGTTGCATTTCTTTTTCAGGTGCCCTGTTGTTTTTCCACTCTTTTTTATTATACAATGCTAATTCAGATACTTTGGCATTAAAATTAACAATAAGTTGTCATGCCAATAATGCACAATAAATACACTGATCAAGGCACAAAGTCAAAGCATAATATATGTCAGACTGTGAGACTGAAATGCTGAATAATATACAAGAGAAATGCAAAAGCATTACATGAAATAAAGAGACTGTCAATAAAACAGCACTGAGTGTGTGTGTCTGTCTGTGCATTTGTGTGTGTGTGTGTGGAAGAAAGTAAGATGCCAAACGCAGCTGTTCAGCGCTTCACTGATTGTCTTTGTAATTCAAGGAAATCTTCCAGAATAACATTATCATTGGAACCTTACATTGAAGTGTTACAATCTAATACTGTCTGTCACTAAATGCTTCCATGCGAGCAAATCTCTTTCTACATGATCACAATATTGAATAATCATATTAATAAATCAGCAAATATGGTTACAGCATTATTCTTCAGGTCATATCAGGCTTGGACAGACATACAGGTGCATCTCAATAAATTAGAATGTCGTGGAAAAGTTCATTGCCGTGTATCAGAATCTTGTTTCATACTGTTTAGAAACTGGTTCACATGCATGAGAAATTAGAAAATTATTTTTTTTCTCTTTTACAAGTCTTTAAGTTTAAATTGTGCTTAATGTGCCAATAGCAGGGATACAAAATATTTACTATTTCTCACACTAAGAGTTACAGTACATTAATTATGCCATATGAGCTTTTCTTGCTGTGCAAACGCTGTTTAAGCTTACATTAACAAAACTGCCAAACGTGTAACAGAAAGGCATAAGCTAAATGAACAAGAACACCTATTGTGTTTACAATACAAATATTATAATTTTATTGAGTTTATTTAGTGATCCTGGCAGTGCAAACTTGGGCTCAATGCAAGTTATTATAAGACAACGAAATTTATTGCATTGTACAATAAGCAAAGCTCAAATTTACAGCTGTATTTGTAAATATCTGTAAATAGCTGTATCTGTACATTGCAAACTCATGGACAGGACATTTTTATCCTAATGTAATCATTTTGCTGATGAGGGTAGGCTTTCTGGTACATACGTTTTTGTCATTCAGACATTATTATTACGACCATAAAAATGTATTTCTATATATTTTTTATTATTATTGTGTGGATAGGTCTCCAAAAAGGAATCATTCACAGCTAACAACAACACACTCTAGTGGTGTGAGTCTGTTAATACAGACTTGAATATACCCTATTCATTTACAAAGCACTGATAGAAGTGTGAAATATAGCTAAAAACCATAACAGCTAAAAAAAATAATAATAATTGCCTAAATACTAAAAAAATTACTGACGCTATTATTGTTCTAATAGTGTGGTTCCATGTAGCTTATATGATTTAGGCCTTCCTATATTAGCATTTTATGCCAAGCTCTCTGCAGTCATTATATCACTAATTATAAGAAATCACAATCAGATTAGATTCACTGATTTAACTGTTGTTAAACTGTAAAAACTAAGTCTTGGTTTGGCCATAAGATCTGTGAATTAACAGAGAGTTTACTAAAGCCTCTAAATGTTAAGGCCTCCTCCAGTGTTCGAACTATACCGTTGACTTTGGGGGAGCCCACCTGTTCTGTTTTTATAACGGGGGGGGGGTTGTATTCGTGCGCGTGCACAAGGGCTTACAATGACTTACAAGGATACATAACAGCTACAAGTGTATGCACTATTTGCTTTATGCAAGCGCTATAGGATAAATCACTATACAGGATTTACCCTATTATACTTTATCGACACGAATTGTTAGGTGAAACAACAAGGAGCCGAGCTCCCCCTAGCTCCCCCGTAGTTCACACCCTGGCCTCCTCCAATCCATCAACCTGAAACACATTTCTGCAGAATATGAGTATGGCACGGTGGTGAGGGATAGTGAGAACCCAGACAAACTCTCCAATAACCCCTGTCATAAAAAACCTATGAAGATTATATGGCCATCGGGATCAAGGCAAAGAGAAATGAGTAACGAGACGAGAATATAATTCAATAGATTCATTTGAAGAATGGAGCGCAAGATATGCTTTTTACATATTTGCAAGACTGTCCATAAATCAGCCCCTGTATTAAAAATGTTTGAAATCTTTTCACGGCACTGGTTTCATTTCCCAGGCAGTCTGAAACCAGACAAAACAGATACTTTCCATTAACAGCTGACTGGCAATGTAACAGCACTGAGTTTATGAATGTACTTACTGAATGCCTGTTTCACAGTCCACCGCTGATTGATTCACCTGCTCTCACGAGAACGCGAACATGGCAGATTCCTTGAGCAGATTAATACTTTGTTATAGCCTAATGTTGATTGTTCAACTCTCGTCCAACCTTCAACTCATAAAATTCCATTCGAAACGGATATCACTAAAAATAATGATAACCTGCAGTTCCGTCAGAAGATTCAGTAACAACTCTGTTTGATTCAGTGAGTCCATTCAGTGTTGGAATCATTTGTTTCGAACTAGTGATTCGGAGCGCGCATCAAACTGCCACGTGATTTCAGTAAACGAGGCTTCGTTACGTCATAACTGTTACCAAATTTTTCAGAATTTCAATAACGATTTTCCTTAAAAAGGAAGAGGTTTATGCATGTTGAGCTGAGTTTTCGCATTTTCACCGCTCTGACCAGCAGGCGTCACTAGCGCATGGCGTTTCAAGCGAGTGAATCGTAACTGGTTCAATTGATTCAAAGTTTCGGAAAGCTTCGTTTCTCCATACTCATATGAGTAATTTGCTCCACAGTTGGACTGCACTTGTTGCGCTGTTTTGCATGCGTGCAACTCGCGAAGGAGATTCAGTAGAACGAAGTGATTTTTACCATTATTTCGTGGTACCTTATCTTTTTATCTCATTACATTTAATTCAGGCTGGAAACGCACAACTCGGATAGAAAGATCCCTTGCCGTAACGCTGTAGAATAGATTCGAGGAGGACAGAAAACGATTGTGCCTCCTCAGAACTGCCCTCTTTAAAGACAGGTGGAGGTCCTACTATGGCTATTCAGACATACAAATGGAAAAAAAGTAAGCCCTCATTTCATTTCATCTATTTCTATGAAACAGAGTAAAATGAATGAGTGAAAATATTTCAGAGCTTCAAAAAAATT